AGGAGAGCAACTAAAAACACTGAGCTCTGAGCCAAGAAACTCAGAAGGAAAATGAGAAAGAGCGTGGTGGCTGAGCGGGCAGGTTCTAAAGTCCGGTTGGACTGACCCTCATCTACCCTGGGCAAAGTAGTTTTTGTCTTTATTCATATATAACATGGCTTATTGAGTCTGACAGACAGTAGCATCTTATAATAGCGTCTATTCATATTACTGAGTATACAGTGAAGGCAGGGGGTAGGGTAGGGACAAACCCACAAAACTAGAACTTGAGAACAGAAATGGCTTCATCAGTGGAGCTGCAGATGGCCTTGGGCCAGGCTGTATACAGCGATCTTTGCTACTCAGGGTCCGGTCCCTCAAACCAGCCACACTGGCATCACCAGGGAGCTTATCAGAAATAGACTTGGGACCTCCCCAGGCTTCCTGAGTCAGAATCTGGATTTTAACAAGACCAGTGGGGATCACTGGGTGGTTCATCTAATCGTTACAAGCTACAGAGCACTGCCCTGGGTTCCATCAGCTTGTTTGGAAGAATCAGCGACAGGCAGGCAATGGCTGCAGCCACCTAAAATGTGGAGGTAGATTGCTGTGTTGAGTAACCACAGAGACCCATACCTGGGGCTTGTCAGTGCTCCAGGGGACCTGGGCAACTACTCACTTAGATCAAAGAAAAGGAATTTAGTGGAGATATTATCAGAGGATGAGCTGAGGCCATAAACCAGGTGGGCTTGTGTGGTCTGGACATAAAAGCTATGGGTGGGAGGGATCTGCAAAAGGGGATGATATGGGGATGGCGACCAGCAGGGCATGGACCAGGGACAGCACCGGAGTCTTTCCAGGAGGGTTTACACGGCTTTCCTGATATTTTTAGGCTAAAAACACTTTGTAGAGAGTAGCATTACATTCATTTTATAGTAGGGCAAAGTCAACAGTACATCAAAAATAAAAGGAACTTAAGAGGTCAGCCTTTAGCCTGAAATATTATTTTTCCCTATAGCCCAAATATTTGTTAATTGAAATAATTACAATAACATTCACTTCTTGGATGCTTTTGTATGACTATGTCACAAAGGTTCTCACCCCTTTTAGCTTGTCTTGTTTATACTAATGGACAGAAAAACAGCAGGTTGCATTAAAGGACATTTTAGAGTAAAAAATAAAATAAAAATAAGAGGATCAATGCACAATAACTTAGCCAAAATAAGTTTCACTGACTGCTGATGAGCTGGACCTGGAGGTTTAGATGCTGGGAATGCAAACAGGATCCCACCAGGGGAGTGAGCACGATGTCTGCAGGCATTTGAGGTCCAGTGACATCTCTTGAAGGCCGCAAACCTCCCTCATCCTTCTCTGTTCTGTATTTAAATCACAGTCATCTTTCCATATTGGTCTTTTCAAAGAGTCCAGCATTGACCTGCACCTTGAATCCATTCCTGTATTTCTTATTTTGATAAGTGATACAGTTACCCACAAAGAGAAGCAGGTAACCTTAATTCCTTTCTTTACATCCCCTTCTCCCATCTACACTAATCATATTCCTATCCCCATGGATTCTGTCTCTTTAAAACTCTCTAGCATCCTAGGATGTGCCGAAGAAGGCTCCTACTGACCCGTGAGAGCTAATTATTTATAATCTCCAGAAATTTTGCAAGCTCGTTGTTAAACACAGCCATTATAAAAAATTAAGTTATAGAAACTTCCAATTAAATAAATTATATTAATAATGTCCTCAGAACTCACCATGTCCTCATTAATTTACTATATAGTATGTTGTCTATGCCCTTGAACTTATTTAAATCCATTGCATGCATATGGTAGAAATTACACATAATGGTATGCTGGTGCATATCTCTTTCAACTTTGTGCTCAGTGATATCACATTGGGAGCTTAGAATTGGCCATAGTGGGAGTACTTATACCAAAGAAATTGGCAAAAGCTACAAATCAGGGCTTGGTTTGTTGTTTTGTTGATTGTCTGGACTGTGGAAAAGAAAAATATTGTCTGCCATTCCAGTAAACAAAGAATGTTTGTCCATCTCCAAGCCATCAGCCACTGCAGCCACTCCCAATGGTGGTCCCTGAGGGGATTCAGGATAGTGAGAAAAAGGATACTGGCCCTAGACAGTTAAGATGTATATCAAAGGAATACAGTTCAGTGAGCCCAGACTTCTGGGTGGAAAAGCACTAAAATCATTAACTTGAGATGTCTGTTGTGATTAGCAGTAATCCTTTGATGTTTCACTACATGTGTGTTTTCGTTCTTCTTTTCAGCAAAATCTCCTGTATTTCCTGGCTCCTCCCTTACCTCTTTGAGCTATCCGAGAGGCTGCCTCCCTGGGCTATAGTCCCTAAGTAATGTCCTCAGATAAAGTACAACCCTCAACTTTTAGGTGGTGCATTTTTTCAGTCAACAAGACTTAAGAAAATGATAAAGAAAATATTAACAATGTAGATTAAATCTAAAAATGTGTCATGTTTGCAGCTATTACATGGTAAACAGAACAAAATTTGAGGAAATATTCTCCCAGAATTCAAAACTGTTGTCCTGTTCAGCAAAAAAGTCACTTGTGTCATTGACAAATGAATGGACTTGACTCATTCACCTTCATTGCTTAACTTTCTTCTTACTTGTCAATGTAAACAAAAATACCAGTTAATGTTGGGACTACACTCATCAGTCAATTGCAAACATAGGGTGACTAAGGATACAAGTGTTCAACAAAAATCAGTGGATGCATTCCATGAGAATCAGCTGGCTATACACACTTGGCAGTAAAGAGTATTGTATATTGACACATCCTTCACATCAATAACACTTGTTGTGAACTTATATACGTATGTATGCATGTTTGGTTTTTTTTAACAGTGTTGGCAGCACCTGCTTGGAGGTTCTCTACATCCCCACTGCTGTTTCCTTAGCTTAGGCTATCCATCATTATTCCAGGCTCACTCTCTCCAATCCCGTGCCCATATTACCACCAGAATCATCTTTCTAATATTTAAAGGCAATCATGACATCCCCCTCATTAAAATGATCAATGGCCTTCCAGGACCTTCAGGAAGAAAGACAAACTTTATAGAAGGCCTTCCTTGATCTGCCCTATTCACCTGTGAAGCCTCCTTTCTTATCAGATGTTCACACTCACACTTCACTAAAGTTATGCCAAAGTGCCTGCTGTTCCCAGAATATGCTTTATTGGTGCCACTGGGCCTTTGCACGTGCTTAATTTTTCCTAGGATGCCTTTCCCCAACTCCTCCTCTCCCACCTCCTGCTAATTCCCACCTAGCATTCAAACAGTGCTCAGACAGCATCTCTTCCAGAAGCCTGTGCTTTGGCACTTGCTACCACCTTAAGCTGTTGTGCAGGTCCACCTCTCTGGCTCCTCTACTCATCTGGAATATCTTCTGAGCAGAGAGGTGTCCCCACCACCTAGCATCCAGCCTGGCACCCAGGAGATACCTAGTATGTGCTTGTTGAATTGATAAGCTAATTGATTAGTTTCAGCTAAGAGCTTACAGCAAATCACAGGATCTAGCCAGTAGATATTCATCTCTGAATTCAATTGTTGCTTTAAAAAAAGGTTGTTTAAAGTGTAGAAAAAATCCAACTGAGTTTTTTCTTTCCTTTAGGCACACCGTATGAAACCAGATGAATCATTGACATTTTTCTTTCTTTCTTTTTTCATTGTTTTCTGGAAGTCAACCAGACATGGCCTGAGACTCTACCTTAATCACTGACCTCCTATAAGGAATGACCAAAACACTTATTCCTGAAAGACAGTGACAGCTATCATTTACTGGGCTAGTCGTATGCTCCCAGCACTAGCGCTGAGCACCTTACATATGTCACCCTATATATCTTCAACATCGTTGCAAAGTGTGTACTAGTATCCCCATTTAACAGATGATGAAACTGAGTCTCATGAAAGTTAAAGCATCTGTTTGAGTTTGCACAGATGTTGAACAGCCAAGCGGTGATTCAAACAAGAACTGGTCTGACTCTAAACTCCAAGTTATCTCATTCTCTACTCATTAAAAGCAAATCAGTCCCTACTAGTAGCCTGGAACAAATCATGCTCCCAACAACACTGCAAAGAGACTTTGACACACAGCCTACCCCAGATGAGCTTTTCTTATTCCAGATACCCAGACCCAGTGAATGGGTTTGCCCTTCCATTGATCCAGATAGGAGAAAAGTGAATGAGGCCAAGGAGTACCTGGGTCCTGTGTCAAAGGCTGCATCCAAAAAGTCTCCGTGACGGTCTAGGCCTTCATCATGGACAGCTTTCCAACAACGAGCAGGGATCTTGTCTCTCCACTCAGCTGCCACTGTCGCCTGTGCTGCTGTCTTTGTTGACTGTTTGTTACTAAGCACTTGGTGGCCCAGCGAGTGAATCAACAGAGGCTCTGCCCGTTCCGGCTGCTGGCTCGCATGCCCTGAGCCCTGTGCAGACTCTGGCCAGTTAGCAGGCAGAGCCACCCAGCAGCCTGCGTCCTCAAAGCCGGTGATCCGCGAGAGAGCCTGTAAGAGCTCAGCTGGATTAGGTGCCACTGAAGGCAATGGGGTTGGGACTCAGCAGGGGGCGTTTTACAATGATGTCACTTTATCTCCTGGTCCAACCAAAAGAAGAGCCCTGCAAGGAACCAGGGGCTGGCCAAGAGCTGAGCCTTACTTAGTTTCAGTAACTCAACCATTCTCCATGCCCTTTGGACCTGCACCTAAAGGACAGAGCAACATGCAAGATCATAATGAGAAACGATGACCTGGAGCTGCCAGTCGGAAGGCAAGAGGAATGTGGTTGTGATCATCACATACACACACAACAGCATCATCATCATCGTCATAACAGGACAGAAGGAAAATTTGGGAGGTGACAAATACGTTTGTGGCACAGATTGTGGTGATGGTTTCATGCACATATAACTGATTTCCAAACTCATCCAGTTGTATACGTTCAATATATACTGCTCTCTGTGTGTCAATCATCCCTCGATAAAATGTTTTCTTAAAAAATAAGAATGTGGTTGGAGAAAAGGGAAAAGGAATCCTCACACTCTCTGGTGCTCAGGTTCAAAAGCCAGCAGAGAGAGGGACAGTAAGCATTAGAGTGATCATATCTCTGCAGAGCTAAGGGTGAAAGAACAGCTCTCCAGAGCCCTTTAAATCAACAGCAGTTTTAAAATGGTGAGACTTTTAAAAAAAAGAGACACCATGCATTTTACTTTATATACTGACCAAAAAAATAAAATAACGATGTTTGATGAAACCTAAGGCTTGGTGAGGGCATGGTTGGTGGGAAGTCCCATATGCCAGGAGTGGGAATATAGATTAGTGCAAACTCTCAGCAGGGGCATTTGGTGATATTCATCAAAACTGAAAATGTACATGTCATTTGCAAAGCCAGCTGTGAGGAACTGACCCCATGAACAGTTTTGCAAAAGGTCACTCAAGCATATGAAACAGATGCTCACTGCCACGTATTTTTGTAATAGTGAAAAACTAAAAACCGCTGAAGTGTCCACCAACAGTGGACAGATAAACTGTAGTTCACACACAGTGGCAAACCAACTACACACATAGCTTTGCAAAGGAGGCAGGTAGATCTGTGTGTGCTGGCATTCAACACTTGCAAGGAAATCTTTCAAAAAACAAAAGGTGAAAAAAAAACAAAAAACAGAAGGTGTGGTCTGTATGAAATTCCTCCTAGTGTAAATACATGTATAATAAATATGCATTATATTCATATCCTATATGTATAATATATACGTTTTATATGTATGTGTATAATACACAATATATGTTATATAAGTATTACATGTTATATATAAAGTATACAATATATGTATAAAATATGTATTCTTTACATTATATATAGCATTATATACATTGTAATTTGTATATATTCTTTAACTAGAAGGAATCACTAGAGACTTAATAGTAGTTGCTTTGGGGAGAGAGTTTTTGAGGTATTAGTCATTAGTTGTTATATATTCAGGGAAATTATTGTCCATTTCTGGATTTTTACCCCTTGTACCCTTGTGTTCTATTACTTAAAAAAAACTAATAAACATTGTATAATGTTTTACAAAATTTATCTTTTTCCTACTTAAAGCTACTTGCCCTCCATGCTAGCTAGTAAAGCATGTTACAATAATTGCGACTATCTTGTGCTATTTCTCCCAAATTTGTCAACTCATCCGATTTAAATGGAAACTTGATTAAATGTAGATTTCCCAGCACCACCCCAGACCTGCTGAACCTTAACCTCTAGGGGAGAGTCAAGGACATCTGCATTTTAGCAAAGGCCAGGTCATTTTTATTTAGTAATTTATTCAGGTCAACCATGTACAAATGAAGAAACTGAGTTCCCCAAGGGGAAAGTGAACTCCTGGGGTCATGTGGCTGGTTCATAGCTGAGCAGAGAGCAACTGACGGTCAGTAAATCACCGACACCCAGGCTCGTGCTGCAGCTTAAAGTCACCAGTGACTCACCTCTTTTGTTACAAACATCAGCAGAGTAATCCCCTCCTATGGTTACCTCTGTTAAGATTTCATTCATTCAAATTAAAGCAAGGAAAAATCCTAATTCAGTACAGAAATTTTTGAATTTGCATACCTATAAAAAATTCAATTGTTTCACTTTCAAGAACCATGTTAATCCATATTTACATACAGTTCTTGAAAGCAGGATAATACAATCAAGTAGAATTCAACACTAAAACGGATTCCCAGTTATGCCTCTTATTTTATGCTTTATATCAAGGTCCATTGTTGAAATTGTCAGAAATAGCAAATTAATTAAATCTAAAATAATAAAGTTGTATTATTCTAAACAGAATCCAGGGCCTCTCATTGCTGCTGAGAATATGAAAATGGCACGGACACCCTGGAAAACAGTTTGGCAGTCTCTTAAAAATACTAAACATATCTTTGCCAGTAATTGAACTCCTGGGCAATTATCCTAGAGAAATTAAAACTTCTGTCCACACAGAAACTCATACATAATTGTTTGTCAGCTTTCTTTACAACAGTCAGAGACTGTTAACAACCAAAGTGTCCTACAGTAGCTGAATGGTTTAACAAACTGTCCATGGAATCCTACTCAGCAGTGAAAAAGAAGGAACCATTGGTCCGTGCAACATGCGAATGGATCTCAGGGACATTATGCTGAGTGGAAAAAGCCAAAGGGTCACATATAGTACGACTCTCTATATATGACATTCTTGATATGACAAAATATAATTATAGAGATGGAAATCAGGTTAGCGACTGCTAGGGGTCAGGGATAGATGTGGGTGATTATAAAGGAATACCATGAGGGAAATCTTTGGAGTGATGGACTAGTTCTGCATCTTGCTTGAGGTGGTGTTTATGCAAAGGATGTGCAGTTCTTCCCATCCCCAAATGCGTAGCCAGAATCTATCTCCTGTAGCCTCGGTTCACTTGGCTACCTCCATAGGGTCCAGGAGGCATCTTTCTTGCTCCTCTACTTGTCTTACATCCTCCTTCCAAAACCTGAGCCTCTTTGAGACACGTGACAAGATGCTCTGCTTCCCTTCTGCCATCACCTGTTCACTCCTAAGAAGTCCCCAAGTCAGACTCAGGCAAGAAGACCCACTCTGCTCTCCTCTAAAGGCACCCTCCCCAGTGGCTGAGACATCCATGGGCCAGGGGTTCATACTGATCAGCATCTGTGCCCCTCTTCTGGGTTTTCTTCCAGGTGCCCTGCTCTTCAGCCTAGGACCCTAACTGCTACTCACATAGAACGTTTTCCCTTTATCACTCTGGTTCCCCTTTGGTTCTCTTTATAGCAGTTATCATTTTTTACTTTAATAGGATATTTTATTCGTCAACTTGTTTGTTTTCTATCTCCAAACTGACAGATGTAAGGGACATGATCTGTCTTGCTTAGTGCTTGCAGGAAATTTTCAGCTGCATGTGACAGATGAAACCATAAAAAATGACTTAGACAATCAAGGACATCTGTGTTTTCATACAAATGTACATTCAGCAGTTCAACAATGACAGAGCCCTGGGTTGGCATTTCTCTTCATGCTGAAGAAGGGCTGCTGCAGCTCCAGCCTTCACATCCTAACCCAACCAGCTCAGGGGGGACAGAAAGGACTTCATCCCCTCAAGTCTCTGGAATCTTTCTCTCAATCCTAGCCAGTTTCTTTTATATGATTGTCCAGATGAAGTCATGGGCCCACTGCTCACCCAAAGTGGAAAGGATGAGGATGATTGGCTCTGATCAGACACAATTTCTCCCTGGGGAGGACAAGCCCATCTTTCCAGAGCACCTGCTTCCTGATATATGGCAAAAACATGGGCCCTGAGATGAAGGAAAACTGAGCTGTGTGTCTAGTGGGTGAAAAACCAAGAATGTCTGCCACAATGCTGCACCCCCAGAACAGGCCCTGCTCAGAACAGATGCCCACTAAATACATGCTGATTGGATGATGGAATATTTGTGCCCTTACAGACTTAAAAGTGACAGACACAGGACGCAGACAGCACCCATGATGATGCTATAGAGATGTCTCTCTTTGGCCTCAGCTCACTAGTCTCTCAGCAACCTTGTGAGGTCAATGCCTTTTTGCTATTTTTCAAAGAAGATGATTAAAGCTCAGAGAGGTTAACTGAGCTGGGTAAGGTCACCCAGCAGGGAAGTGGATACGGTGATCAAACCCATGGAGAATTCCAAAAGCAGCAGAAATTGCACTCGAGAACACAGGAATGATTGATGATAAGAGGTCTTACCAAGGAGCAGGACCAGGAGTCACTAGTTTAATGAGAGTTTCCTGTGTCTCAGGGAGTCACAGTGTATGATTCCAGATGCACACACCCTAGGGAGTGGGAAGTATTAACCCCATCTTACAGATATAGGAAACTGAGGCTCAGAGAAGTCAAACAATTTGCCCAAGGACACAGCTATAGCAGATGATAGAGTTAGGTTTGAATTCCAATCAGACTTCAAAACCTGTGTTCCTTCCACTGGAAGAACCAACAGAAGGGAAAGCCTTGGCGAGGTAGAGAGGTCACTCTTTCCTTGAGATGTGGGAGGGAGAAAAAGGATGAGTGAAAGGCATGGAAATGTTGAGACCAACAGAGGGAATTTGAAAAGTCTCATGTCAGATGGCTTCCGTCCTTCCAGGAAAGCAGCACTCAAAGTCATCTGCATGATGAGATTCAGATTGGAAAATGGAAACGATTTGGAGCGAACACTGGGAAGACCAAGATGGTGACCAGCTCAGGAGGAATAGAGAAGGTACTGAGCAGCAGGTGGACCCAAGGGGCTGGGGCTGTGCAGAGGGTCAGAGACTCAGGAAGGCCAGGGGCAGGTCCAGTGAGGGAGTGGGTGACTGGGACAAGGCAGGAACAAATGCCAAAGCCTGGCTTAGTCCCTAATACTGCATGTCCTGTTGGTGGGGGAGGGCAGGGATTTTTTTAAAGATCGGACACCCAGGTTTCAAACCTGGGGGGTGGGTATAGCTCAGTGGTAGAGTGTGTGCTTAGCATGCACGAGGTCCTGGGTTCAATCCCCAGTATCTCCATTAAAAAAAAAAATTGGCTTGAATCAAATCTGGAGCAGATGGTACCTGGGTAGTTTTGAAGACGAATGAGCAGAAAGGAAGCTGTGTATACAGAGAAAGGAAGATCCTGATAAAGGTCATGAAAGGGGGCGTTCCAGGGCCAGGCTGTGCTGAGAAGGACAGGACTAGGCCAAGCTGGGTCTGTATGTACAGAACAGACAGGGAGGGCAGGGGCCTGGTGGGGTTGGGGCAGAGCAGTGGACAGAGCCAACCGAGACTGGCAGATCAGCCAGAAGTGTCAGCGCAGGAACTGGGACCTGCTGCCTTATTTACCGACCTCAGGACCACAGTTTCAGCTTCTGCCAAGCTCACCTGTCAGGTATATAAGCATCTCACGGATGTACGTTGATTTGGGATGATTGACCTTGGTAACTGGCTACTGCCTGCTTAGAAAAAAGGCGGCTGGGTTTTTCTTTGAAACATAATCGAAAGGAAGGCATACCCTTGGCTATGATTCCTATGACAAGGTCCTATGGTCCAACCCTGGAAGTCACGAGGAGGAGGCTGAGGGAGGGTCCTCATGGCCCACGGAAGACCACCCACCTCAGGGCCAGGTTCTGTGGTTGCAGACAACTTTTCCCTGCCCATGATGGTTTGGGTGGCTCCCCTCTCAGGTGCAATGAGTTAAATGAAACATTCTGGCCTAGGAGGAAAAGAAGACAAGTCCAGAGCTTAGAGACAGAGCAGCAGTGAGCTGGGGCCAGAATCCACTGAAACCAGCTCTGCAGACAGAAGAGGAGCAGACAAGGGAAACTCAGCATGCAAACAGATGGAGATGAACAGAGGTCAAGGCCACCTAAGGTGAAGCTTGAAGACCCAGAGGTCCCATGTCCTTTCTTCCTGTAGCAACAGGCAAGGTGCCAGCTGCTGGCAAGGTGCTAGGAAGAGACAAATGATGCTTTGAGAGCCCAATCAAAAAAATAAACACCAAATTCAGGAAAGGGGCCCATTGGCAGGTGCCTTCTCTGCACTGAGAAGGTGGGCTTTGCCAGGGCTGACCCTTTGTCGTTGCTAACTTCCACATGACAAGGAGAAGTAGACCCTCTGGATTTGTCCATGAAGAAAGGGCCCCAGCACACAATCTTCCCACCACTTCTCGCTCAAGTGTTTTCTTTGGTGAATGAGATGGATTTCATTCAAAAATGGCCCACGATGGCTTTGGCTCATACACAGTCTGTGCTGATAGTGCTGCTCTTGGCTCAACAGATGAGAAGGTAGGGGCTTGCTGCGGGGCTCTGGGCCACACACACACAGCTGTACCGCCCCAGCCTTCCTGCGCCTTCCATGGCCCACCCATCTGGGAAGAGAAATTCTGCCTCTGCTGGTCTTCCCCCAGCTCCTGCTGTGGCTTCCATTCTGCCTGAGTTTTCCATTCACAGACTGATGCCTGGCCTGAAAAAAAAAAAAAAATAGAACAAGAATGAAGCTTATCTCTATCACTCAATCACCCCTTCATTCATCTCTCCCACCACTCAAAGGCCCCCGGAATCTGGATGAGTTAATTTACCTCTCTGCTACAATGGAATGATTGTGAGAATTAAATGAGCAAGTGCATGGGTGTCTCTGGTATATTTAATGTGCTCAATACAGGTTAATCAGTATTATTATTCCTGTTTACATTCTCATCTATATTATTTCCTCAAATATTTACTGAAATCAACTCTGCAGCAGGCACACTTTTTGTAGAGTGCAAAGAAAAATGGTATGTGAGACCTGTGTTTAACCAGTTTAGGGCTGGAGAGGTCTGCAACACCACCACCCCTGTATCTACTTCAGGAGTCTATTACCTGTAAGAAAAAAAATTTATATATATATATATATATATATATATATATATTTTTAATGGAGGTACTAGGGATTGAACCCAGAACCTCATGCATGCAAAGCGTGTGCTCTACCACTGAGCGATACCCACCTCCCTTCCCTGTAAAAAATATTTTAAATAAACCATTTCTTTTAGAAACCTAAGAATTCTTTATATTCTCTTGGGTCATGGGCTCTATGTCGATATGAAAGGGCTCACCCAAATGTGGGGAGGTGGCCATAATCAAAGAGGGAGT